GGAGAGATTTTGACTTGAGCCTCTGGTATGTCAGCATTTTCCTTCCCAATACTCATTTTCTATTTAAATAGATAAAGTGCACGGCCTATTTTCATGGCAGAGAGGGCTGGAGAAGGGGGTTTTTAATGACTCTTTATTCTCGGTTTTATAATCTGACACGCTGTACGCACATGTGCTTGTCACAAAACTGTGTGAGGTGCCCACCTCCCATCCATGCATTGTCCAGCAGATGTTAAAGCCATCAAACATGTTTGCTTCTAGTCCCAAAGGAAAACATTCTCTATTTTGGGATGTGGGATTTTTTTTTCAACTGATCTAAACAAACAAACAAAAAATAGCTTGGAGAGGTAGGTCTTGTATGATCATAAGAAACTTGTGTAAATGAGGATCTAAGGCTTGTTCCCTGACCCATAAACCGGGGTAGTAATTAGTTGTCCCTGCAGTTTGTTGCTGTCACAGAAGCTGAGGTAAGGCTGAAACCTATTTAAAACTYGCATGCATTAGCAATATGGGATACCTAAACACACACTTACTGCAGTGACTGATCATCAGTTACTATTTCTAATAATACCCAAGAGCCTGCAACCTTAGCAAGGTCATGTCACATGAGGCACTATAGCAGTACCTTGAGTAGAAGATAAGGTACTTTGTCCCAAGGAATTTTCAACTATAGGCACCCAAACTTGTAGATTAATCTGCTAGGTGGGACCTTATACACATGTGGTAGCCTATTGCAGGGCAAGGCCCCCACACATGGGTAATTTGTTCTACACATTCTTTACCTGTTGGCTATTGATGGCTGGATATTGACTGTTGGATGTTGACTGGCTGGATATTGACCTGTTGGATATATATATATTGACCTGTTGGATATATAACCTGTTGGATATTGACTGGCTTCGCTAGTAAGAGACCCCTCAAATACTCCTATCTTGCTCTTAAGCCATACGTCCTAGAAGAGGCTGGATTTGATAGGAGAAATCGCCTCATGACTGCTGCGCTAAGAGTCTTAATACAGAGTTTAGCAATTTGTAGTAAAGAAGGAAGATGGAATTAACCAGTGAGAAGCAGTAAATGCCACCCTCCTGATAGAAATAAAAGTCTATAGTACAAGAAAGGACTGCTAGCGAAAATATTCCTTCTGCTATAGGGGAAGAGAAATGAAGCAAGCCTTGAGCTCTCATAAATATGAGTCTGTGAATTTGAGCTGGTGCAGGTAATTAGGCTCTGCTTTGGTTGCCTGGTCCAGGCAGATCTCAGACTGCCAGGACTACTAGGCTTGCTCACTCTCCGTATTATCACCTTATAAATGAAGCTTCACATTTGAGAGCAGGGAATCCTCTAGAGCCAAGGATCCCCCTGTGCCCATAAGCACAGAACGAGTTAGGGCGCCGTGAGACTGGTTTATGGAAGGCCAGGGACCTGCAGGTCTAACCAAGTAGGTGGAAGGCAGATGTAGGTAAAATAAGTAACATAACTACTGCTGTTCTGAGGATACTCTTATGATGCTTTCTAAACACACCAAAAACTTTTGGAACGACCTGTGGAATTAGTGAAAACTGAGCTGAAAATCTCCCGAAACAACTTTGTAAGTCTTGGTCTTCCTCTCAGAGAAGCCAGTGGGAATTTGAATGTTTAGTTCCTCAGGCTCTTGGTTTAAAAGGAAAAAAGCCACTAAAATATCTTCATAGGTAGTCCCTATAAAAGCACAAGATTCAAAAGCATTCCTTCAGGAGATCAAGGACGGTCCGGCCTTTGAAGCCTGGAGGATTGGGAAATTTAAAGATCTTTGTGGCAATCATATTGTGCCATTAGAAATCTACCATTTGGAATTGTAAAGTGTTTAAAAGGAATGATTCCAAATTCCACAGCTGTCTGGTGAGTGACAACTTGATGTGGCCTGAGGGGAAGGAAGAAGGTCATTGTTGAGAAAACAGTTAAAATGAACATTTTCTGAACAGATGCTTTAGATAATACTTTGATAAATGAGGTTTAAAAACACATAAAATCGTGTGGATGACTTCCAGAAAATAACAGATTAGCAAAACAAACAAGACTCAAAATCCAAAGCCAAGGGATAGGTGTAGGGCCAGTACTTAGCAAGTAATAGATGACTGCTTAAAATAAAAGGAACAATAAACAGAGTCTAAACCAACAAGATGAGACAATTCTGCTGGCTATGGAAAGTGATACATTTTTATTACACTGCAGTTTTCCAAAGGAGAGAGCTTCCAGAAGCTGGGCTGTTAGTTTTGTTACACTAAAATATTTGCAATTTTTTTTTTTTTTAGTACTTTTTTTTCCTTAAACCATTCAAGCAGCTCAGCAGCTGATCAAAATACAAAACCATTGCATGTGCCTAGTGAATAGAGAATGAATGCAATCCCCTTATTTTAGTATCTTTCTCAGCTGGGTGTAGCAAGAAGACTAAGCAGGCAGCATCACTGATGACAAACTGATTTATGAAATGGTTTATTTTCAGAATATTTGGTGTAATTATGAATAAAGGTCCTGATCCTGTGACAGCTCAGAACCTTGTGGGAAGGGCTGCTGGCTGGATGCCCTCAGTTCTCATTAAAAACTCTCTGCAGATGTGGTCTGGCAGCACGCAGGGCCTGATGGCATTACTTTTAAGGGATTTTTTTTTCTTTTTTGCCCTTCCACAGAACTCATACCAAATATCCTCTAATTCTGATTCCTTCTGGCACCCCTTCTACRGGTAAAAACCCAACCAATATGTATAATTTGAAAAAAAAAAATAGGGAGGAAATATACCTCAAATTCAGCATAACCTTTCAATTTTATCCTCTTTAATCCTTTGATAATTTTTGAGCTTCTCCTGCAGAAAAGCAATTTTGCTAATCACCTTTGTGCCAATCCCCGCATTCCTGACAATAGCGCGAACAGCTTCCCTCAAAGTCTTTGATGTGGGAAAGACACACACGCACACACACACATAATCTGAAAACAATTCAGCCCCTTGGTTCTCAAGGGCGAGCACTCTGCTTTAATAGAGTGCAAGTTCCGTGGCGGTTTCTAATCCTTTCTGCCAAACAGAAGAGACACAGTCAGGTAGCCCACCTTATTCAGAAGTTAAAATAACATGTTACTTGCTCTCAGAGAAAATCAAAACAACTCAAGATCAAAACCAGATTCCGCCAACCCTAACGGGATAGACTTTCTACTCAGATAACTCTTGATCTAAGTGTGTAACAAGTAACCTGCTTTAATCCCTCAAAGCGATGGTGTTACAGATAAGTACTGTAGTAGCAGAGGAGGTGTCTTAAGTTTCAGAAATACACAAAAGCATTGGGTGGAAGGAAAAACAAAACAAAGAGCTGTCCACATGCTTGTGTCTTTAGCTGAAAAGGTGTATTTGAGGGCAGTGTAAAGAATAAAACCCCTTGGAGACAGGAGAAAAAAAAAAAAAAATAAAGAAGACAGGCAGGTATTCAAGTGGTATTTCTTCCAAGCTGCCTTTCATTGATTTATACTGTTAAAGTATTTTATGGGTGTAAGCTCCYGTTTGCAGTTTACAGAAACTGCAAACTATGATGCTAGAACGGTGAGTTCAGCACAGAACCCTGCTCTCTCTAGAGGTTCAGGGAGGCTAAAAACCATGAAAAGACTGGGATCTTGAAGTGTTTTGAAGTAGAAAATGATATTGATTTTATGGTTATACTGCAGCATGCACCTGCACTGAATCCTTTATTAGAGTATGAAAATCCAGTGAAAATAATTACGTTACATGTAGAATTTTAGTAGGGGTCAGAACCTTCCCTGGTTTCCGCTCATGGAGACACCTGCATGTGTGCTTCCTTTTGCACTCCTGAGATGTCTAGTGCCCCTGGGTCCTTTCTGCTGAGGCTTGGAGCATTTACTGCTTACTGTTGTCATCTGTGTGCCAGTAATAAAACTTCTGGTGCTGCAGGAGGCCTGTGGGATAGACAGCTTGACAACCTCATAGCAGTTGCAGTAGCTGAAACCATACCTAAGAATCTATGTATGCAGTGTGGGTCCATTACTCTCAAAAACAGAAAATAAGTGATGGTGATATCCATGTTTTGGCAGATTAATAATTACTACTCCCTTGCCAGGCAACTAGCTGTACAAACGAGCTGTAGAAAACGAAGTTTGTATTTAAGAGCAACGTATCTCACTGTTTTCATCATAGCACTGTTTGTTTCTCCTGCCTGGATCACATCTGGTTCTTTCGACAGTTACTGTTTCATTGAACCAAATCTTTCATCGTTCTGTATCCATCAACTCACGGATTGCAAGAACTAAAGGGCCACTTCCACAGGTGCACTTGTCCACGCTTTATAGTCTTGGTGGCCCAGTGGGCCACGCTGCACGTTACTTTAGAGCCAGGCTCCTTTCAGAGCGAGTTAAGGAATTTCCTTGGTGGARCGGCCCTGGCACAGACTGAAGGCTGTTGTCGCTGGGATCTTACCCTCAATCATACAGTCAGATAAAGATACAGCCAGACTGTATCTCTGAGAGAAGGAAAAAAACAAAGCTGATAATTGTTTTTATTATTATTTTTTATTAATCCAGTAATGGTGAACTTCCACAAACCTTGATAAGCTGTTYGAACAGGCAATTTTCTTTACTAGAAAAAAAACTGCTTCATTCATGAATGTTTCCCATCACCTTCTGTCTAGAGCTCTTATCTCTTCTTTTTCTGGTAGATTGAAGAGCCTGGTATTACCAGCTCTTTCTTCCTCTGTTTAAGTACTCATAAGGTAAGATCAACTCGCACCTTAACCTTTTAGAAAGCTAAACAGACTGAGCGCTTTGGGTCTCACTATAAAACACTTTTGACAGTCCTGTAATCATTCTTGCTACTCTTCTTTGAAACCCCTCTAGTTTTTCAACATCCTTCTTCCAAAGTTGGCAGGACAAATTATTTCCAAAGCAGCCACAACAGAGTCAAAACCAGAGGTAAAAGAACCTCCCAGGTCTTGTTTGTTTCCCAAGACAGCACTAGCCCTTTGGTCACAGCACTGCAGAAGGAGCTCACGTTCAACTGATTATTCATCTTAATGAAGACTTTACGGAATTGCAGCTTTGCAGGATAGAGTTACATCCTTTCAGTGTGACCTACATTCTTTGTTCCTAGATGTGAGACTTTACATTTGGCTTGATTGAAATATATACAATGAGATTATGCCTAAACTTGGGAGTTCTGCAGCCACGAGCATCCTTTGCATGATTTGCTCTTCCTGCAGGCTTTACATCTTCTACACAGCTTTGATAATTAATAACTTCAGATTTTTTTAAAGTTACTAATAAAAATTTTAAATCATGCAGGACCAACAAACTGTCTCTGTGGGACCYACTAGGAAAGACCAGCTTGATAATAAACATGTACTTGAACTAACAAATTAGGACAGATAAGTTCTTTGGGTTTTAATATATTTAATGTTTCAAACRGTCAGTTGATTGTCAGTTGATTACAAAAAGAAAAAAAGTTAATTATATTTACTTACATTTAATGTCATCAGAAAAGATACCAAGCTAATTTGCTACAAAACTGCACTCRTGCCTATTTTCCATAAACTCATGTTAAGTGATGGTCATTATATTACCTCCCTTTTCAATTAGCTACTTAAGTCCTGCAGCAGATGTGCTGTTATTTTACCTGAGGAATAACGCAGGCTGATAAACCTTTTAATTACTCGGGCCATCTGATTCACTTGTTATAAATGCCGATAGAACAGTTGCCTTCTGGTCCTCTGGAAYTTCCCTGAGCTCCAGGTTGTGTTAAAACCCTGTAAATGGACCASTTTCTCAGGCAGCAGCTCTGAATCTCTACAAGACTTCCGGGGCTGCTGATTTAGCCCTATGAATACTTGAATGCTTGAGATTATGCACACAAGATGACATTGTTGAACAGGATATATGTGCTGTCTAAAGGTCTGTCTTCTATGGTAACCTCATTATATACTGACATTTATTCTTCTCTCTGTGCAAGAGGAGATGCAGCCTGTGGTGTGTGATACCTCTGTGACACATTGTAGGCAGAAGATGGACTTACAGTTTATTTATTTTTTTACTTTGGAAGGAGAGATTTCCTCAAACATTTTGGCCGTCCATTGACTGGAAAATACTGTAAGGATGAATACCAGCACTATACTCTCATTTTCTTCCTCCACTCTGTGGAGAGCAGCTTTGCTTTGGATCAGGATGGTCGTGGGCTGTCAGTTCTCTGCGCTCCTGTGGATGGCAACAATGACTCAGTTATTATGAACCCTTCCTTCGTGGCAGCGTGTGCACACACGCACGTGTGAAACAAGGGCTCCTCTGCCCTGATGGGAGGCACTGGAAAGCCAGCCTGGAATGTGCTGCAAGCTGGGCCCGGTCTTGGCGGGGGGGGAAGAGCCTCTCTCTTTCACAGGGCCCGGGAATCCGGGCGAGCTCAAAGCTTCTGTGCAGCATGGGCAGAGCCCTGCTGCTTTTCCAGGGGGGAGAGCTGCACCTGATCCTGCTCTTGGATAACAAATGAGCATTAATCACCTTGCCCATATCCTGTGTGAGGGGGCTGCTCCAGGGGGTGCAGCAAATGCTGCAGCTACCTGGGACACTATCCCTGCTCTGAATTAYTCTCATTATTAATAAATGCGGGAGAAGGTGTGTTTATAAAGGGTTATTATCCCCGGCCGTGAAGAGTTGCGGGGGGGGAAGGGGGGGGGGCAGCACTTCTGCCCGGGCAGAGGCCGGGGCAGCCCCGGTGGCTCCGGTAACGGATTAAGCGGCCGATGAGGGTGGGCTCGGCAGGGCCCGGGCACCCTCTGGCTGCCGCCGCCGCCTCCCCCGGAGGGGGGCAGTGACAGGCGGCGGCTCCGGCCCCATGTGACTGGGGAGCGGCTGCCCCCGTCCATGGCTTGGCCTCCCCCGGGCAGCAGCAGCTCCGGCTCCCGGGGAGGAGGGGCGGGAGCTGCTGCTCCATGGGGAGGAAGGGCAGCCCCCGGTCCCCCCAGGCGCAGGGGGGACCCCGGGCCGCCTCCCCTCCCCCTTCCTCCTCCTCCTCCTCCTCCCCGCTCTGGGCCTTGCCCGAGGAGCTGCTGCTCCTCATCTGCTCCTACCTGGACGCGCAGGCCTTGGGCCGCCTGGGCCAGGTCTGCCGCCGCCTGCGCTCCTTCACCGGCCGCGACGTCCTCTGGAGGCGCATAGCCCGCGGCTGCCTCAACTCCGGCTTCACCCAGCTCGGCACCGACCTGTAAGCGCCGCGGAAGGGCGGGCGGGAGGCGGCGGCGGCGCCTGGGAAAGGCCGCGGCCGCTGCGGCCTAGYTGGTTGCTAAGGGGCGTTCTGCGCAGCTGGCGTAGTCGCCAAGGGGGCTCCCGCGGCCGGGGCGGAGGGAAGGCGGCGGGGCGGGGGGAGTATTCTCGAAGCGCGGCTGCGCCGCCGTTGGCCTGCGCAGCAGGGGCGRCGAGGGCAGGGCAGGGGCGGTGGGGCCGCCCCCGCGAGGGAGGGAGGGATGGCGCGTGGCGGCCGGGGCCGCAGCCCGGGGTGCCGGGGGGGCTCCGTGACCCCCGAGAGGGGGGAGGGCCCGTGGGAGCCGCCCGCCGCCGTGGGCGGCCATCATGAGCGGTTCGGCTCGCTGAAGCCCTGAGGTGCCCTGCAACCTCCGCACGAGGAGGTGAAGGAGACAGAGCCGGCCTAACCCCGCTGAGGGAGGGCTGGTGCCCGGGCTCGGGTACATGTGGTAACCCGTGCGGGAGTCTTCGTGGTGCGGGCCTGGGGAACATGTGTTTCTTGCCTTAATGTTAAYGCTGGTACCACAGAGACGGGGCCTCTTGGTCCCTGTGTGACTTCTAGCAGCARAACTCTTATTTTTAGTGTTTAGTGTGCAGCGCCTTGCTGGCCTTGGGCCTGTCAGACATCATGGTTCATCTGCCAGACTCACTAAGGCAGCGCTCCGAGGTGCCCGTGCCATGTGGACTTCCCTTGCTTTAGGGACTGCAAGAGGAAAACTCCATTCTTGGGACCTGTGGGCCCCTTCCCGCATTTTCCCAAGGCTGCCATCCTGGAGCTGCCTGTGCCATTTGCTGACTTTGGTGTGTTTTCCTTGCACCCTGCCTCGATGTTGATCTTGGAAGGGATGTCAGCCCTTAGGGCAGCTCTGCTGTCTCATCAACAGTGCCCACTCTGGAGGTCCCCTTGCAGCAGGAGYAGAGTTTGGATCATGGTGAATATCCCAGTGCATTGGGGTTTCTCCCAGCACTTCAGCCACCCGGCCTTTGTAGGCTGGGGCTGCAGAGAAGGGGCATCGCAGCAGGTCCCTTTGAAGTCAGCAGGAGCAAGGGCCGTGCGTTCTGACTCCCGGGCTCTGTCTGCTGTGATATATTATTTTGTCTACCRAGGAAATGAAGTTCTGTATTTTTTTCATTAAGGCTGAGGTGATACTGTGCCGCTTGGGTTGCAGGAGGGATCAGGTGTACAGCGGAGCAGGTGCAGCGTGCGCAAGGACCACCGTTTCCCCCCGCAGAGGAATGCGGGTCTATAAACAGCTTCAGAAGAGGTTTGTTAGGTCAGAGGTTTTAAGTGAAAGGAAGGGTACTTGAGTGTCAAACKCTGGGGTTTTCTGTGCTGTTAGGTTTGCTAGGAGCAATTTTTATAGTAATTTTAGGATGTGCTTTTGTGCTGAGTCGTATTTCCAAGTTTTCCTTAAACATCTCCTGCTGAGTGCTGCTTTTAGCGGTGGTCATAGCTACCCTGGTCCTACAGAGCTCAAGCACGTGCAGGAGCCTTGAGGAGGAGCTGTGGGGGTGAACCCTTTAATTATTTTTAGCATATTGGAGTTGAAATAGATAGTGTGCCAGATCTTTTGGACAACACCTGCAAGTTAAGCACTTGTTTTTTGCTGTGTGCCACCAGCATCTTGGGACACTTGGAGGAGTTAAGCTCCAGTAGGGTAGACAGCTTTGTCAAGAGATCAGTACATGGGCCCACCTCAAGAGGAGGGGTCTGTAACTGTCCATCCCCAAAAGGATTGCCATGAACTGCAGTGTGGCACAGTTAAAGGTTTTGTACTTGGCTTAATATTAAATTACTCCCTAATGGCAATTAAATACTCCCTATGGTAGTTTGGAGGTTTTAAATAGCCTTGTCTTTTTTATAGCACCAGCCCTTGCATGTTACTGAGATGAGGGTTCTTATTGCCATTGAGGGAGCAAGGCTTGTGGAGAGAACTTTTAGGCCAACTGATGGATGGGGCAAGAGAAAGAAGTTCTGGACACACAATCTTTTTTTCCTAACTAGCAACCTGGCAAGCTGCTCCCCGAAGATTAAGCAGGAGCTAAGTAGATGTTCAAGCTAAAATATCCCTAAGTAAATAGAACAGGGATGAAGATGATGGGTAGCTGGAGCTTCTTGATTGTTCCTGTCCCCTAGTGATATAGAGGCAAGTCTTGAGTCTTTCTAGATGAGCTTCAAATTCCTTGAGAGCTGAGGATTCTGTTGCACGTTCTGCAGAGTGTTCCGTTAGATGAACACTTTTTAAGAGTTTGCTTTTTGTGCAATACTGTCCAAAATTGAGAAAGCGAAGGCTGGAACCGTTTATGGTGAACGTGCTTGATGAAGTAACGTGCATGTCTCCAACGTTAGCTCTTAAACTGATGGTCCCAGGGAAGCTGGCACAAGTTAAGAACTAGCCGAGGGAATGTTTACTGTTGAGAACAAAAACCATCTCAGTACTAGTTTGATCGTTTCTGCTGTTAAATGGCTTTTGATAAGCCATCTGTTAATGCTTTGTAAATAGTGATAATTTGAGCCTAATGTACAAGATAGCCGTAAAATTTATCCCCTCCTCCCTGTGTTTCCTCAGTTTCTTGAAGGGTGATTAACTTGAAAATTACACTTTTTTTTTTTTTTTTTTTTAACGTTGTTTCTCTTGGGTATGTCTGAAGATTATTGTCACAAGAAGATCAGACCAAGAGGCTTTAGTTTGCGCCTGCGTGGTCAGCTTGTCTATAAAAGTTTGTCCCTAAAACAGGGAAGAGAGAATTTTTCCAAGAAACTACCTGCAAAGCCCTAGCTATTTACAGCATAGAAAGGAGAAATTGCAGTACCTCAATATTTTTAAATAAACTATAGGATTTTACTTCTCATTGACTGTGCCCCTTCAAAAATTCCCTGCCTTGTTTGTCTCTGGACGTGGACTTAGGCTTGCACAACCTTAAATTGATTTGCTAATATCAAAAGAAGATATGGGCTTAATAGCAGATAGTAGCTGTTAGGCTGAAAGGCATACTCATAACACTGCCCATCCTTCATATTTGCCCTTTCTGGTAAACTTAGCTAATGAAGACCTGCATGTTTAAGTAAAGGATTTAAGGTGTTGATTCAATCATACAGTTAAGGAGGAAGAAACATTTTTTTTTGAGCAATGTTTCTATATTCTAGCAGTAAGAAAATGCCAAATAAAATATTATTGTGGTATTTTGGAAGTATCTAATGGTTTTAGTTCTGTGTAGCTCTTGGGAGGTGTCCTACAAGGCTCTCTGTGTCAGGCTGCCCCTTGTTCTGTACAGTCACATTAGTTTTATGTATAACCCTGTAGAGCAGTGAGACCTTGTAATGAGGATGGTAAAAGTAAACAAATAGGGGCCGTGCTGAAGAGTTTTGCTTTCTTCAATCCTAAGAAGTGCCTGAGCAAGAATTAGGCCCTTGTGCTTGTGATACAAGGCTAGTGGGGCATTTCTGCTCAAAAACTTGTGGCAGGAAAACAACCCAACATCATTGCAGGACAAAAAAATAGTGGCTTAGTAGCTCCCTCTGTGACTAAACTGGAGCTTAGCAGCAACACAAAGCCTTGGGGGGTTTTTGGCGTGTGTAGCGATGCGACTGCGGTGTCTGGTGGTCTGGGTGTTTTCTCAGCTGTTGTGCAGGCCTGGGGAGAGCAGGGCCTGCCCTGAAGAGCTGCCTAAATAGACAGGGTAAACAGGGCTGGGAGGGCAGGCGGGGGCAGAGATGTGCACCGAGCTGCCCTGGGTGCAGCAGGTCAGTGTCAGAGCCAGGAATAGAAGATGGTGCTTTGAGGCCTCAGCCTAAGCCTGGCTTGCTGGACCACCATGGGCTGGAGAAATCAGAGAGGCAGGCRGCTCGCTGCAAGGTGGCTCGTTATTTAAAGCATGGAAGAAGGGAATAAAGCTGCAGCTGGGCTAAACTTATTTCCTCTTTGYTACAAAGGAATTTGAGAGGGCAAGTTAGAGCTGCAGCCCAAATAGCTTGACAGTGTGTTCTTTGTCGTGTATTAATAGTTGTTGTCAAAATCGAGAAGTGTTCCACGGCGTGTTTTCTCTCTGCTTGTCTCCAGGCCTGCCTTGCCCACTAGGCGTATTTTCCAGTTCAGAAAAATAGGTTCGTTCATGGGAGAATTTATCATCTTGGAGTATTGAAGAGCTTGTCAGAGCATTTCTGGGAGTTAATAAAAGTAGCATTTTCTCCAGTTCTTGGGAGGGGGAATATATATATATATATATATATATAAAATATATTTATTATATGTATGTGCACACACCTGCAGGAGCAGGAAACGGCCAATCTCTGCAAGCAGAGTCAAAATGTAAACGACAGCAATTACAGGAGACCTCTGCCTTCCCTCCTAGAGCAGGAGGGAGCACGGGGGCCTGGAAAGCTGCTTCACTTTCCTTCATCTTTTAAGGCTTGTTTTGCCTAAGTTTCATTACTTCAAGTCAAAACTGAGCCAGGCAGTGAGGTGGCRCAGATGGTGCGAAGGAGAGTGCCCTGGGGAGGGTATTGCAATAATGGCAGAGCCCTGGAAGARGGCACACGGCTCTTGTTTTGGGCTGGAGAATGCTGTGGGTTTCTAAACTCCTGCTAGACTCCGTTGCATCTTCAGCAATGGATTGGGGTGGGCTGGATCTGTCGAGATGGTTCTGAACACTGTCAACTGCTGCATACGCTGGGAAAGTGAAACTGTTTTGTAAGAGCTTTTAGTGGCCTGCCTAACCTCCTCTTTAAATTTTCATGAGTGCAAAGTGAAAGGAGAATTTTATCTAGTTCAGGGCTTGGCAAACACGTGCTGTGCCTGTTGCTGTTAGTCCTGGAAACTGCTCAAGTGAAGTAGCTGTGTGTGGTTTCACTCTATCAAATAGTACCCTGGCAGTCTGCTTTTTCAAAACAGGATAGATAGAAACACTGCTTG